GGTATGGGCAGTGCACCGCATTGTTTTAGGTGATTTGCGAGAAATTCCGAAGTTTACGTTTCGTGAATACGTTTTATACTTTTTCTGCCATATTTAGCAGCAGAAAACTTGTCTTATTCGATAGACCATAGTCCTGAAGTAGTATTTTTTGCTATAATTAGGACCTATCCAAACATTTCGTGCTTTTGCTCAATGCTCGGGCGCCATTTTTGTCGTGCTGCCATTAAATAGTTCAAAAAAATTAATGTTCTTTAAAAAAAAATTAATAGTTCAACAACCTGCAAATTTCGTTACCTGATGAGCTTGGGCGGTGTTACCCAATGGGCGGTGTTACCCCGAAAATGTAGACATTTACTAAATGTAGAACCAGTAAAACGCCTTTTGGGCGACCAACGGAGCGAGCGAGACGATGGGCCTCGCACATGCGAAATTGCGAGGGGGTACCTCCAACTAACTTGTGCACTGCACCCTACTAACCGGTCTTTAGCGATGTGCCAAATTTCAGCGCAATCGGCCTAGCCGTTCTCGAGATCTGGAAGCGGCACACTGCACGTGCGCACGTGCAAGCGGGGTCCAAACTGACTTTTGCACGGCACCCTACTAACTGGTCCCCAACCGTGTACCAAATTTGAGCGCAATCGGCCCAGCCGTTCTCGAGATCTGGGAGCGCCCCCTGCACGTGCGCACGTGCTGTAGCACCCCAACCTTAACACATGCAGATGAATTGTCTGATGGAGACCTAACTGTGTACCGAGTTTCAATTCAATCGGCCCAACCGTTGTGCCGTTATTGAGGTTGCAATTTTGGGGGTTCTTAAAAAAATGTCCAACTTTACCACGCGCCACGTGCGGTGGTTGGCAAGAACGCATGGTGGCCATCACACCACAGAACTTTTACGTCCAAGTGACATTCAGTAAAGAAGACCGCTTGTCAATCGGATGTCCCGTTCCTAAGATATTAGCTTTTGAAGAGCGTCCCCACGGCCGGCCGCTCATACTCAGGATTTTCCCTTAATTCAGTATGAGACTCCGCTCGCTTCGCTCACTCCGTAATAAACGAAATGGAACCGTTATGCACTAATTTCATGTAGGGTAGCCTGGGGCAAGACGCCCCAGATAATTCATTTTGCCGCATAAATTTTGTCCCAAATCACCTGGAAGGCCAAATTTGTGCTCAATGCGTTCTTTGGACATTTTACTTTAAATTGCACCCCTCAAATTCATTCACTTGTGATCGGACTCCAAGCTAGGAAGTGATTTGTGAAGCAACTGCAAATGGGGCATTTTGCCCCAACCCCAGGGCAAAACGCCCCACGGCATGGGGCAAGTAGCTTTAGATTACAGATTTAACGTGGTAGTTGGCTAAATCTTATGTGAGAGGTCCGTTACACCTCTGAGGGCACGGCGCTGAAGTTACCACTTTCCATCCTGTCAGGTGTTCAGCTATGACACTATTGTATGAGCAGGTTTTCACCTGCCTCATAAGACCAAATAATAAATTATTGCAAATTGCAATGCAAATGTTTACAGAATACTTCCTTTGCCATCCAGTTGCTGGGAAAAATACACATAAAGGCATAGAAACTTACTGTTCGCCAGCTACCGAACATTAGAAAGTGGGTAGCCCGAACAACACATGAGGTAAAACGCCCCATGGGCTTTTTGCCCCGCGACCTACTGGGGCGTTTTACCCCATCACGTAGTTGGGTCAGAGAACAACGCTTTGCACTCCAGCAAGACATAATTGAACACGAACCAACCCGGCATGATAAGCGTTAGACAATAGTTGTTCAAAATACATAAAAGTCGTGAACCTGATGTGGCCCATAAAAGAACGCCATGATGCATAATCTGACAACAAAACATAAAAATCACTCAAAAAACACATTTTTGGCTATGTCTCCCGAAAGAGTCATCACAATTTCTTTCCAGTCTGCTCATATAATGATCATATAGTGCACGTTTTATAGAAGAGAGGATGTTTTCCCCAGAACTCTGCCAGTTCCGAGAAACATCGGCGAGGCGTTTTACCTCGGCGGGGCGACTTGCCCCGGTCTACCCTACATATTGCCACAGTATATATTTGATTGATGGCATTGTTGCATAAGGAAATGAAATTGAAGCTTGGTAGATAGGTATATCTTCATAGAATAATGCAGCCCAATCACATAGAAGGCTGCCTTGGGGGACGGGGCCATTGCCTGCGGCGAATCTTTAGGTAACACACATGGCTTAGAATGCTGAGAACATCCAGCCATGCTCCATTGGTGTAATTGATATAGACATAAATAAGACATCCTCAGTTTCAGTTTTATGGGCTGCATCCTGGTGTGTTATTATAGATATCATACTCTTATATAAGCAATCCTGAGATGGTATCTAAAAAGTTCCGAGATCTTTGAATCTCGAGAATAATGAAAAATGTTGCAGAGATTTGGAGACGTAATTAAATGGACTATTACCCGGAGCTACTCTATTAGCAGATGTTGCTAATTATGCGACATGTTAACCCGCGACCGCCTGGGGGGGGGGGGTCGGATCCGACCCCCCCTCCGTTTTTCTTGAATAACTCATGAACCACTTTCGCTATCTACTTGAAACTTGTCATACCTTCTCCCCCATCAATTTGACGTCTCCTGTGCAATTTTTAAGAAAAAATTTCCAAAAAATTTTGAGATATATCGATTTTAGTGATGTAACTACATGGCGTTTTTAGTCAAAAAGTGGTAAATGTTTTAAAAATCGCCAAAAATCAGGGTTTGAAGCAAATTGCAAATTAAGGACATCAAAAGACGCAGTTTAACGAGTTCTTTAAAATGGCTATCTCGGATTTTCCATAAAATGCGTTTTTCACCCCTAAAAATTCAAAAAACTATATTTTTTGGAAAACAGCTAATAAAATCCAAAATTTTGGGAATTTCCAAAAAACCGGAATATATGTTATAGAGCTCTATTAGAAAATTAGATACCCCACATTTCAACTTTCTATCTTGATTTTTTGACCCCCAAATTGTAAAAAATAGCTCCAACATGCATAGGGCATGGTGACGTCATAAGCATTTTCGTGAATTAGAGGCACTTCTGAACATCGCATGTGAAAACAAATGGCACCACTAGATTCCTGGGACAAAGTTCGTCTAGAAAAGTGCATTTTTATGTCAAAAATAAAAAGTTGAAAAATTGACCTTTTTTCTTAGCCCTCGTTTAGTTATGCATAGTATAAACGATTTTTTATGCTTTCAATGCACACTTATCACCAGCACAGTGACTTGGGGTCACATATAACCATTACCATCGGATTCGGCGTGAAAAATAAGCCATAAAACATGTGTCGCACGCCCATGTAGCAGAAAGTGAAAACCGTGACCTTTCGTGACCTGACCTGACCTTGACCTGTACCTAGTATGACCCCTATACGCACATGGTACCTTCACTAGGCCTTTGAGGTCATTTTTGGTGAGTTTCGAGCAGCAGCTATCGATTCCGCTGTCCGTAAGCCGATTCATGCAAAACCCCTGAATTTGACCTTTGACCTGACCTTGACCCGAAACATGACCTCAATCTTAAAATCTTAAGAGTGCTTTGGGAAGGTCTCGTAGAGACCTTTCGAACGCCGCCTCGCGGGGCTCGATACGACCATTGGTTCTCGAGATAACAGGGGGGGGGTCGGATCCGACCCCCCCCCCCCAGGCTGTCGTGGGTACGGAAATAGCCCAGGCGGTGCCGGGTTAACCAGTAGCGGCGGAACACCTTCAATTAGGCGGGGGGGGGGGCACTGCCGACTTTTGGTCTCATTCTTTCCATACAATGCCTATAGGGCTAACGTTAAAATGGCAAAATCAAGGGGGCACGGTGCCCCGGTGCCCCCCCCCCCCCGTTCCGCCGCCTATGATGTTAACCTCCGTCTCGGTGGGGATCAGGGTGTCGGACGGCGACGCCCTGCGCAGGCCGATGGCAGAACCAGCGGACTCGACACTGCTTCAGCGTCCGGGGAAGGGGGCGTTTTGGCCATATTCTCCAGCCTTTTTTGCGTATGTAAAAAAAAACTCCGGCGCGCTGAGCCGCAAAACCTGGAAAAGTTAATCATGCATCGGGTTTGCATCATGTCTATAAACTTAAAACTCAAGCCACCTAAGATCAGGTCACCAGGCCAAGTTAAGTGGCCATGCCTCTAAAAAGATTCTGTTATTCCTACAGTTTATGTTCAAAAATTTGGAAAGTCGGTGAACAGTATGAGAATAGCAATACCAACTAATTTTTTTATCTCGTATTGTCCATGTCTGTAACTTGGGGTCAGGGCAGATATGTGACCTCACCTTTACACAAATGGTAGAAAAGTGCAAGTGCCTCCTGGTTTTGAACAGATATGTCTAACCCACAAGATATTTACAGAAACATAAAAAACAGCAGCAAACATTACCTCATTTGGTTCATGAGTTGTTCGCCGATTTGTGAAAAGTTGTCAAATCGGGGAATTTTTTTCTGATAATTTTGTCTTCGGTGACCTCCAGTGACCTCAGACTCCTCAGCAATGACCTGATCGAAAAATCAGCTTTTTAATTCCGAAAAAATCTTATATGCGAGTTATTGCTTTTTCGCGGCGTTATAGCTATCTTAGTTTTATTTTATATAATCGGGTTTGGCCAAATACGTCCATTGTCCCCCATGGCGAAGTTGGTGGAGACCCCTCCCCCCGGGCGCTATCAAGGCATTGGTAACCTTTAATAAATTCGCCGTGGCAGATTTGGAGCCTGCAGATAACCCATCGCTTAAAACGAATGTCTTTTTCGAATTGAAACAAATAGTGTGCATACATAACCCAGTGCCCAGTGGTGATGCAATTGGTCTGAGTTTTGTACAAAGTAGGTACGAGGATAGGTATAGAGGAAAACTGCTCCAGTAGCAGCTAAAATATCCTAATGACTGCAGAGTGCATATGAGCCCAATAGCCCATGAATGTCAAACCAGCTCAACTAGCAACCAAATCCAAAAGAAGTGTCAAAACAGCATAGCAATCGTCTGCGTCGCAACACTCCGAGTTGATATTCATTGATAAACGTTTATTTCACCGTATAAGTGTGCAACCCTATGACTCGGTGATCAAAAGCTCAATTGATGTATTGATAACACGAATTCATCTCAAGTCCCTCCGGGATGCAGGGAAACGGTTGGAAGTATCCGCGCACCAGCTTCGCGTGGGTTTCAGTGCCGGGGCGCAGGTGTATATAAGTGCCTCGGGCGCCGTATCAAATGGCACACACACAGTCCCACCGTTCGAGCGAGCTGCAAGAAAGCAGCGGGGAGCTTCGAGAGGTTTTCGAGAGCTTCCTGCTGAACTGCTTGGGAGAGGACCAGACTTCAAGCCTACCCCATACAGTCTCACAGTTCAAGGTGAGTTTACGAACCGACCCTTACAAATATTTCATATTTCACTGAAACGTCAGGACGGTGAGCGAGGCGTTTAACTTAGAGATTTAATTTAACATAGGTACAAGCGGTTTCATTGTTTTATCACATACCGTCATGACGTCCCATTGGTAAGTACCTACCATATAGCGGTGTTACACTTGACTTTTCTTTCGATGAATGTCATTTTCGTGCCTTTTGAAGAATATCAGGACATAAGTAGTTACCTATAGTTTGAGGTGTTATCTTATGAAATGTAGTTAAACTATCACTTAGATGAAAATTATCTAGTTATTTAGATCAAATATACTGAATCTCTTGTTCCGTATTTATATCGAATGGCTGAATGAATTGAACAAGCAACGTTTGAGGTTTGACAAATCATTGGATATCTTTTAGACGTTAAAAAAAGGCTTTAAAAGTTACGTGTCACTCGATAGCTCCCACGCATTGCGCGTAATCCAGTGATAAATCTGATGGGATATTATGAAACAATGGCTAGAAACTGCACTGTGCGGCCCAAATATTTATACAGACAAGACTGTCATCTCTAAACCAGAATTGACGGGCGGCGTGTTGAGGTAGTCGCTTCAGTTGGCTTCAGCAGACCAGTTTTGTTTGTATTTAATACCGAGCTGGCTTAGAGATAGTCGGTCCTGTCCAGTTTTGTGTTTAGAGAAGGACTCAGAGGCGGCTCCAGAATTCAGGGGTCGACGCTTTGATTAGCTTCCATTTAAGTTTTTAAATCAATCTTCATTATCTGACACACAACTAAATAACTCTCACTGAATAACCCAGTCATCCAAACAGTATGCCCCAGCGAGGTGTACTTTTATTATATTTGACTTTTCACCGGCTGTCTGCAGTGAGATAGCGATCAATCCGAGCAGTTCATAGCAAACAAAAAGTGTCGATAGGCTGGTCTGCGTGAGAGGACGGATAAATCTATTCATTGCGTGAAGTGGCTTTTGTTGTCGAATGTAGGTGGACATTTTGAAGAAAATCTCATGAAGATGGCAGTTTTGAAAAGGCTTTCTGATAACCATCAATGAGATGTCAAAGAATAGCAAGGTTCCATGTAATTTGCACGCAATGGAACGGAATCGTCATTACAAATGGACTCCGTCCCGAATACCATGGTGAGGTGGAATATGAGGCGAGAACAGGGAACGCAGTTTGACCGAGAGCGGGTTGACAGCGACATCTACGGTAAGCTAGGCCTGCGCCCAAGGAGCGGCGGTGGCGTAATTCTTTTTTCCACCCAAAGGAAGGCGCTATACGGAGAATATCCCATTGCGTCATTGAAAAGTGACTTACACCTCTCATCGACCAGCTGGCTGCGTGGTGAAGTGGTGAGCACACTCGCCTCGTGATCTAATAACTAGGGTTTGATCCCCGCCGCCGGCCTAACTTTTTGGCGCGTTGTAGGTTAGGTTGTAGGTTTGTAGGTTGTAGGTTTGTAGGTTGTAGGTTTGTAGGTTGTAGGTCTGTAGGTTAGGTTGTAGGTTAGGTTGTAGGTTGTAGGTTTGTAGGTTGTAGGTTAGGTCAGGTGAGGTTAGGTTATGTTTGTTTTTGTTTGGTTTGTTTACCAAGAAGCATCTTAGGGTATAGCGCCTTCCTTTGGTTGGAAAAAAGAAACACGCGCGGCGGTGCGCCATCTGCCCACCGATTGGCGAAGAAACGAGGCCTGTAAAACATAACGTAAACATGAGCCATCAAACCTGTCAATTTTTATCATAAAAAGTTGCCATGAATAAACTGTACACAAGGAAGCAAAATCGGAAGTAATGATGAAACTTATATCCCAAAAGTAGGTGTTTATGCCACCTTTCCAGATCCACAAATCGGAGTGTGATATCAAAGGTATAGGTAGGTACCTACTGGGCCTGCAACTGGTCGTCTCGGTTTTCACATGCCACACTCATTATTCATCCATAATTCGGATTCTGTAACGTACCTATTACCAAGCAAGATATAAAGTTCCAACGACCCATTTTGATGCATCTACTTCGAAACACGCTGCTGAGCTGGCTCGGGTCCGACTTATACCGTGTGACACCCCCCCCCCCCTCTGAGCGCCCCTGACGCCCGCCCCCGCCCCCAGGATGCTGCTCTCCTATACCTACGTTCCGACGCTCGTCGTGGCCGCTGCCGCGCTTCTCGTCACCCTCCCAGCCGGCGGCCGGGCCCAGCTGATGGAAGGTGACCCGGAGCTCGGTCATCCACTGCAGAACAAGCGCTCCTTCCTCGGCCTGCAGTGTCGCGGAGTGTTTGACAAGGTCACCTTTCACGAGCTGAACGCCGTCTGCAAGGAGTGCTACGGACTCTATCAGGAGCCCGAGCTGCATGGCCTCTGCCGGTGCGTATGACATGGTCCTCAGAGTGACGTCGTATGTACTATGTACATAGTGACGTCAGAGTTGATTGTGAACGGTGCTAAAGTTGCTATCGGAATGAAATAAGTTTGTAGGAGTCGGAACTCGGATGGTTTACATTTGGATGCCACAGTATCTAAAATGTTCTTTGGAGGCGATATGAAATATAGAAGATAACTTTTGCCAAAATGAAGATAAATACATACTTATTTCTTATTCATACACTGTTCTCAGTTCTTCCGACTCGCCTCACAGCCGATTTTATCACGTAAAAGGCGTTGTTGCGACCAACAAACGACCGCAGAACGGTTGAACTCAGCGCCGTGTTCGTTTCAGGTCCGAGTGCTTCACCACCGAGTACTTCAAAGGCTGTCTGCAGGCGCTGCGGAGAGCCCACGAGACGGACAAATTCGACATGGCCATCCGCCGGATCAGCGGCAAATAATTAGACCCCTGCTGACCATAGACGAGAAGAGACCAATGTTACCCGCATGGGCCAACGCTAGGATTGTGTGTGTTTGGGTGTAACTTATGTGCTAGTCACGGGCGGCTGGCCATGCGTTAAGCGGAGATTTATTGGTCAAATTAATTATGATGTTTCTATGAGGAATGAAGGAGCATGTTCTTTCGTACGGTTATGTTCTTATGAATTAGCAGTAGCAACTGTTTTCTATTGAGGCTGGAAGTGGAGATTCAGTTTTTCGAGCAGTGTTCAACTACTTCACTTTGTAAGCCGATGCAGCAACAATGTGTTGAATAAATATACCATATGACATTCGGCTGTTTCTGCAGCCACAGCTCTGTGTCGTTACTCGTTTCAGCTGTATTTCGTCCGGGGCCTAATCATTCTAATCATAATAATATGTATGAACTCCCAAGAATAACATAGCGGCACAATCCGGACCAAAGCAGAATACCAGATAGATTATTATAAGGCCGACGTTATGCTCCACTGAATCGGGAAACGGAAAGGTTGGCGAGAAGAGTAGCTTCACGGTCTACGCGATAACTTATTTAAGGAATTGAACACGATTTTTGTGTGTAGAATCTTAGATACGCAATTTCAAAAAAGCAAAAGAGCAATGAAACGTATTACTTTTCATTCAATAAGAAAACATAATGATTTCATTAAGAAAGCAGCTACTCGCTCTAGCCACATTGACTGAGCTATCATACTGGAAAACTTCCATATACATATGTGCTGGTTATGCGTAACAGGATGCATTTAAAGACCACTGAATTTTAATGTATTTGAAGCAGAGTAAATTCGCTCAGTCGGCCTTGCTTTTACAGGCGAATGGGCTAAGATAAAGAAACCCTCATTTTAGAAAAGTTTTTCTACAAAACCTTAGAGCATCGCCGTTTTTTATGTCTTTTAGGTATCTAATAAACATTGATTTGTAAAATCGCTCTCGTGACCCCACATTATACCTCCCAGGTCATGTTCGGTATAAAGCGTTCATTATCAGTGTATTTTTTTTTTCGACGGTAAGGTATAAGATCATAAGGTTTAAGATTATAGTTTTAGGTTAGCCATTTAAGTTCAAATAATAGATGATTTGGCACGCCTAAACGAGAAAAACACGATTATGGGAAAAGCATACCAGCTTCACATCAAAACACATTTCTAGAAAATAAACGTTTAGAAGATAAACGGCATTTCCGACCTGCACTGACCAGTGATAACTGTGGCAGGAAACCTAACTTAATTGGTCTCGAGGTCAGCTATGCAATCACAGATCAGGTAAAACTCACTAAAAGTAAACATTAACCGTTTTCGCGACGGTCATCTGGTACACATTTGGTACAGATTAGGTGCAGATTTGGTGCAGATTTGGTCAAATTAGGTTTATTTTGATTTTTGTTACTTAAAAGTTGTCAGTTTGGGTTGCACAGATGCATAAAGACCTTATTTTTTAAATTATCAGACATTTTTTTCGTTCTTAAAACACTGAAATAAATTCATGATATGAAGATATTTGTTGTAAAAGACATTTGGTGCAGATTTGGTCAAATTTTGTGCATTCGCCAGGTAGCCCGTCGTGAAAACGGCTATTATATCAACATTAATCGCTATACTTTTTCAGAACCATTAAAGTAATTTATCAATCACGTCTTCCCTCAGGTCCCTGGAGGCCACCAAAGGTAAAATTAGGTTTGACGTTACATTTTCCTGATTTAACAAGTTTCAACTTATCGTCGTATAATTCGTAAACCAAGAGCTAGAGCGTCGCAGAAAACAAATTTTATAGAGGCTTTTTGAAGGTTCTTTTGCCAATTAATTTGACGTAAGGTCAGCGGCTTGGCCTGCTAATGGCGAAAACCACCAAAATAGACGCATTGTGCTGAAACATTTTTTCCTGCAGTAGCTTCGGCGTTTTCTTTTATATTGTAAGATTCGTCTCATCACCAATCACCATCGTCTTTCTCTTGTTGAGGCGCGTCGAATGAGCTACAAGCTGACCTGAAGTTGACCTTAGGTCAAGGTCATGACCCGACCGGAAAGGTCATGTCGTATATCAATCGATCCGTACTGTTGACCTGAACACATTGCATATGCTTTCGCCGCTCTGCCATGTCTCCATCAAAAGCTATTACCGAAAGTCGCTGCGATGACCTTTTACATATACTTAACATAACCTTTTGAGCGACGGCTGGCCATCAGCTACACCCTATCATTACATAGGTATGGATAGAATTGACATGTTTCTAAATTCTATCAATATCTCCTCAGTCCTCTCAGTCCTTTCATTTTATTAGAAATAGATCCATGCAAAACCATGGTTTCCCACTTTTTCACGTCAATCAATAAAGCGGCAGGAACAAAAGTGCTAGACAAGCAATCACTACCTAACCCAGCTCACAGTACCTACCTCACGCACACATGCATATTGTAAACGCATACTCGACCAACACAGCTGACTCACCCACACTCACCCACACACAGTAAGGTGAGGGCGGCTTGACAAAGGAGAGCCGGGGGCCCGGGAGCGCGTGCGACCCGTGAAGTCACAGATAGGCATTAAAAATCCGAAATGTGCAAGCTATTGGTACTGACTACTGATGGATAACATGATCATGTTATCTATGCCTTATGCAATGCACCGAGTTTCGAAGTTTTAAAGGAAGACTGCCACCTTCAAAAAGTTTTCTCAGATCGGCCTATGATTTATTCCCTGGACAGAACAAAATTTTAGAATTCACCTGACAAAGTATCATCACGTTAATCGCGAAAAAAATGTCGATTATCATACAATTATCAATCGGTTAATGTCTAGCGACAATGTTTACACATCACTAGACTTCAAGGTCATAAGATTATTACATTTTATTTGAAAAAGTAAGGTATTTTATGATTTACTAATATATGATTTCATAAGAAATTGGCCATGTTTAATTTATTTTGCATTTAAGTTCGTAAAACATTTAAAAAATCATGGCTCATTTGGAATGGGTCTGGCCCATGTTAAACCCCATTTCCCACACTTTTTTGGAAAAAATGAACTACTGAATATATAAGTTTAACTTTTATTTTGACACTCCAAAATTCTTCTCTGATCTCGAAACAATCAAAGTTTTGACATATATTTACCAAAAGATAAGAAAATTAATGTTTCAAAGTTATCGATAAACAGTAGAGATGTCGGTTTTCTTGGACTAAAAAAATGGCATCAAACTGAACTTTGGTCTCCGATTTCTGGCAAACGGGTTCGAATTTCGGAAAACCGACTTCAGTCTGGGACATAGGTGGCTCAGCTCTAGTGAAAACCGTTTTGTGGAAAAAAGGTGGCAGTCTACCTTTAAGAGATAAGTCGTAGGGATGACAGAATCGTTGAGCATTTCGTGACATGGTTGCTTAACTTGGCCTGGTGACCTGACCTTAGATGACCTGGGGTCAAATTTTTTGCTCATTATACAAACTTGATATGGAGAAACTCTACTAAGTTTTTCGTTTTCGTTATGAGCCGCAAAAAACTGGTGGTAAAACCTCGAAGTCTGCACCTCCAGTTAAAGGTCAAATTTGCACCTCTGTCTCCCCCCGCTGTGCGAGGCATCCCATCCCTCAGTGTCCTCCGCTAGCCAGTCACGATAGACGTTACAGCCTGCTTGAGATGCACCACTTAATGTGATTGGCTAGCGGCGGCTCAGCTGACCAATCAGCGTTCGGCTCTCTAGGGCGGCCGGCGGCGGCGCCGGGCGCCGGCCGGTCGGCAGACAAGGGAGCGTGAGCCGTGGGGAGTGGTGTGTGTCAGCGGTGACTCGGCGGCGGCTCCTCGCGGTTTCCTCTCACAGAATGCGCCGCTGTTCCCTGTGAGTGCCCCCGCCTCGGTTCCCTTTCCGCTGTGCCGAGCCCGTGTCTGTGTGTGCTCCGGTGGACTGACCTCAGTGATGGCGGCGCTCGCTCTGAGCCTGTGTCTGTTGCTGGCGGCGGCGGCCGCTCAGAGACCTGAGGTGGTCGAGGGCGACCAGCTGCCGCACCACGACCGCTGCGAGGACATCGACATCCCGCTCTGCAAGGACATCCAGTACAACAAGACCATCCTGCCCAACCTGCTGGGCCACGCCACGCAGGACGAGGCCGGCCTCGAGGTCCACCAGTTCTTCCCGCTGGTGAAGGTCAAGTGCAGCGCCGACCTGCAGCTATTCCTCTGCCTGATGTACGCGCCCGTCTGCACCCAGCTGGAGAAGCCGCTGCCGCCCTGCCGTTCGCTCTGTCTGTCGGCTCGCAATGGCTGCGAGAGTCTCATGAACAAGTTCGGCTTCAAGTGGCCCGAGAAGCTCGAGTGCTCCAAGTTTCCGGAGGCCGGCCCGAACGTGCTGTGCGCCGCTCAGAACGAGAGCTCCAGCCCGGCCGCCACCCCTCCGACCAGCCTGCAGCCGCCGCACGACGGCAAGGACTTTGTGTGCCCGGTGCAGTTCCGCGTGCCCAAGGGCCTGTCGTACCGGCTGCGGGTGGGCGAGCGCGAGACGCCCGACTGCGGCGCTCCCTGCCGCGGCATGTTCTTCTCGGACTGGCAGCGCGACTTTGCGCGCCGCTGGGTGGGCGTCTGGTCGGTACTCTGCCTGGCCTCGTGCGCCTTCACCATCTTCACCTTCATCCTGGACACGTCGCGCTTCCGCTACCCGGAGCGTCCCATCATCTTCCTCAGCGTGTGCTACTTCATGGTCTCCCTGACGTACGTCATCGCCTTCGCCATGGGCGACACCATCTCGTGCAACGAGCCGTTTGAGCCGCCGCCAGAGTACCCCAAACTGGACATGGTGTCGACCATCGCGCAGGGTACCAAGCGCCAGGGCTGCACGTTCGTCTTCATGACCCTCTACTTCTTCAACATGGCCTCGTGCATCTGGTGGGTGATCCTGACGCTCACCTGGTTCCTGGCGGCCGGTCTGAAGTGGGGCCAGGAGGCGATCGAGGCCAACTCTCAGTACTTCCATCTGGCCGCCTGGGCCGTCCCGGCCGTCAAGACCATCGCCATCCTCGCCATGGGAAACGTCGAAGGTGAGTTTTATGCGGACAAAAGGGGTAATCTGTTTTGTTCGATCATGCTGTTGACCGGGACCTGTAGTTGTTATTGTGAATTGCGATTTTCGTGCCTGCTTGCGGTGTGGTTTGTCCGAGAGTTTGTGTGTCTGAAGTGATGGGCCACCCATTCACAGGTCCTGTCCTGTCAGTCCATTTATGATGTGTTCTGTGCAGTATCTAGTGTTGCCTCAACACTTACTCGTCTCGTAGACAGTTGTGCTGTGGTGATACGAGACAGTACCTACCTAGGGACGAGCGAGGGCATCATATCTTTCCGAACAGCATGCACTTCGTTCTGCTTTTGTCTGAGTCAAGTACCTACAGAGGGCCGCACGGCGTACACACTACACACGTCCGGGCCTTGGCTCGTGCGCACCCATTACGAGCTAGAAATGTGCCTCATATTAATGGTGCTGTCGCCTGGCGCCGCCTGTGCGCCGTAATAGCCCCCGGTGCGCCGTAATCGCCGCCGGACGCGCATCGGCGCCATCTTGGCGCGCGCCTGGAAAGCCGTATTTATCACACGGTGCTGCGCCGCTGCTCGTTTCGTGCGCGCCGCGCTGGCCCCGTGCCCGCCGCGCCGTGCCGCGCCGCCCCCGGCTCTCGACCCATACCTATCAGCCGGGCTCTCACCCCAGCCTGGGCCGGGATCCTCACCCCAGCCCGCGGCGAGCTCCTCACCGGGCTATGCATTAAACATAACCATTTGTGAGACCATGGGTGTAGGAGCGCCAAAAATATTGGTGAAGGATGCCACCTGAACCTTATGAAAAGGGACAGGACCGTGCCAACCAACACGCACAGTGCAAGCGGGGGGGGGGGGGGCGAATTTCGCCAACCCCTTGTTTTTCGCAGATATCTTACGCCCTTATCATCCCATTAACGTCAAATTTTCAATGCCTGCCTAAAATTGAATTGTGCATCTTGCCATGACAGCAAGATGTAAATCAGGGCCTCGGCTAAGGAATTTTGACTACTGGGGCAAATGGTCAAAGTGTGTTAACCCGCGCCCTGCTGGGAGGGGGGGGGAGGTTTTTGAACACCCCCCCTGCGGTTTTTCGTGGATATCTGAAAAACGGCGGCACCTTATCATCTATCAATTTTATACATTTTGTGAAAATTTCAGACCAGGGTCCTTCAAGGTCAGGTCACCAGGTCGCTACATGTGACCTCACCTCATAAACACATCATAAAATGTTTCAATGTATGCCATAGCTACACCAAGTGACGGATCGCTTTGAAGCTTTCAGCAATTGATAAGTGCAACAGTATGTACAAAATTCGGAATTTTCATATCGGTGACCTAAGGTCGGGTCAATTTTGCGACCTCTCTAGGTATTATAAGTCAATGGGAGAAAATTCAAAACCGTCTTTTTCGGACGAAAGTCATTCTAAGCACTCTCAAACACTAAATTACAAGTAACTTTGACACAATGAACATGAAAACGGCACCCGTGACCCCTGTTTATGCCCCTAAGGTCATCTCAGGTCACGAATGGTATCATAACAGTTTTTTGCGACTAACTTTTGAAAGAGGCATGCTAGAGCGATGAAAACGCCTTATATATATGTTCAGCTCGACGATACAAATCCACTAATATGCAACATAACAATGTCCGGTCAAATCATGACCTTGACCAGAGGTCAAATTTTTAAGTTGAACTTTCAATGTCAAATTATAGTTCATTCGATGCGTCTTGACAAGAGGAACACGATGTCGGTAAAAGAAAGCTCGTGCAAGGCTTGAGTCAAAAGTTATTGCAGAAAAACTGTTCCCGAAAAATCGTCTATTTTGGCAGTTTTTTGCCCCCTGCCGGCAAAACCGTTGACGTTAGGTCAAATCTGAGAGAATTACTCAGAAAGGGCGTTAATAGGGCTATCGAATGCGCTTTTCCGTGGCGCTGTAGCTCTATTGGTTCCCGAGCTATGCGTTGGCTTCTTGGAAATTGTCGACATTCGACCTGGAAATCGGCGAAATTTTGCCTTCAATGACCTCTGGTGACCTGACCTTTGACCTGACCAAAAAAGCGACCGAAGTGATTTCGTCATTATTTTTGGCGCTCTTTCGAACGCCGCCTTCCGCGTATCGCTACGTGGCCCAGGAGCCGAGTTAGAAGGGGGGGTGTTCAAACCCCCCCCCCCCCCCAGCAGGGCGTGGAAATCCAGGACCCCCAGCCGGGCGCGGGTTAAAAAACAGACATTTGATCAACCGTCGAATCCAGTAGTTCTAAGCATAGGTAGGTGAAGACCCTCCCTTGCATTGTCCAAGATTGGTGAAGGATCCTTCACCAATCTGAAACTTTGGTGAAAGGTATCCTTCACCAAAGAGATACGTTGCTACACCTATGTGTGAGACCCGATGTTTGGGGTCCACCGATTGGTAGCCGCCCGAACTGGTTACGGGAGGGAGCGGGAGGCTCGCTACGGCCTTCAGTGGTCTCTGGCCACCGGCCCACGAGGGGAATCGTCAGTCAGTATGGGTTCAAAGGCAACAGGAGGGGTAGGATAGTGGGCTGGACGATACCGAGGAAGACGAAGTATGTTGCTTATTGAGCGCGTATTGTCACGTAGTGCAGATAGGTAAAGTTTGGTTTTTGGTCGTCATAGCAGCATTTATTTGCACTGATGCGCTTATTTTATGCATTCAGTATCCATAGCATACAGCACGCACGGCCAAAATTTTCGACCGGAACGATCGTCGGCCGAAGTGTTTTTAGAGTAGACCCAATAACTCTTTCTTAGCTCTCGCTCTCACCAAGCTACGCCAATAGCAAAGAATGATGTCTGGTAGGGACAGGAAGTCCTCCGTCAACCCTTTCTAACGTCCTTTGTGCGTGGTCCCCTGACGTGCCACTGTTCGCTGGCGTCGCTGTCCCCACGGCAGCCTTTCTGTCCTATTCCGGGCCCGTCCCGTCCGCTCGTCCCTCTGTCCTGACCCCCTCCCGTCCGCTCGTTCCCTTGTCCTGACCGGCAGGTGGCCGGCGTGGGGAGCGTCCCGTCCCCCCGACCCGACCCCTAATCGCACCCATCTTTGTCCCCGGTCCTGGCCCCCTGACTGTCGCAGTCATCCGAAAATAAGTCGGTGGCGTGTGCGTACTGCGTAATAATAACTCATATCTGTCCACGTATTTTTTGTATGCCTGTTTGTCACATTAGTCTTGGGTCGTCCCATCGCAATACTTATCTAGTCTCCGTTAGGAAGGTTGCGATGTGGAATAGCGAGCAAAACGACTTATCTGGATTGTGGACAATTGCCTTCGGCTTTATTCATCATGAACGAGCATTTCTGAGAAAGCGGAAGCTGGCTTCGAAGCATCAGCCCAGACCCAGCTTTAGCATGTCTTTGAAAGTTCAACCGTCCTCGTTGGTGGCAATAACGTGAGCAGCAGGGTCATGATCCCCACTGCACAGTGTGTGCGGTGTGCATTCGGGCGCACCGGCCCCGGAGGCAGGGCGGACGGACGTTGTCTGACTTCCGGCCGGCCGGAAACAAGGTCTCCCGGTCGGAAGTCAGCCGCAAGTGCCCGGCGGCGTCCGGCGCCGGGCGTGACGTGACCCCGTGACGCCGTAACGTGGTTCCGTGACCGCAGCGTAACGGCCTCGTTACGGTGTGATGGATCGTGGCGGCGTGATACAGGAGACGGAAGGATGTCGCTGTGGTTATGGCAGGATAAAGCGGGAAATATTCTTTATCTGATGTGTTGCAACAGGGTTTCTTGTCGTAGTTTCAGTATCTGTCGGCTCACGCCTGTTTCCCCACCGCTTATCACGCGGTGCGATCATTCATGATCGTCTCTGGTGCGCCACCGTTCGGCTCACACCACGAGGTGCACCCCTACTCGCTGCTGGGCGGTTTGCGCCGTTTTTGCGTCTGGTCTGACATTCTTGTTCGCTGATAATCCACACTGATGGTGACTCGCGAAAATGGCCAGAAAACGATGACGGGGCGGTCAACCTTACAGAGAGAAGTAGTCATGCCTCGTAGCAGAATTTCGCGTCTGTTATCTGGCTTGTCACCACGCGTTACCTTCTATAAACCAAGGCACGAGTATAAATCCAGCCTGCCGCATCTTATACCCTATGAGTCTGCCCGGCTTCACAGCAGAAACTCCTCAGATAACTACCATCCCAGAGCGAACCCCAGCCCTCCCCGCCGCCATTACCGCTCCTGGCTGGGACAATTACCCCTTCCCCTCCCCCCGGGGGAGAGAGGTGAGCCGATTCACCGTGGACGTTTAGAGGCTAATTAGTCCGCCGAGACTGGCTGGCGAGCGGCGGACCGGTCGACCAGCGATAATGTAGTCAGCGATAATGAGCATAGCGCAGGCCGCAGCAGCCCGGCCTTAGCCTGGCGGTAGCGGTGAGCCGGTGGTGGCGGCAGCGATTTACTTGCCAGACCCGGGACAGTGTTTCCTTTCTTCATATCTATAGCCAGTTCACCTGTATCTACCTGGGTGATGTTCATCTTAGCGCGCACTCTTTTCCTTTCCTATACGATCGCATTTCGTGTGTTTCCTTCTATCCCGTTAGCCCGAGTTTGCGGGTACCTTGAGCTCGTTCTTTTCCATGAACAGCCTTAGCCTGACCCCGCTCTGTCCTGTGCCGGCCCCTGTCTCGGTCCTCCCCGCCGGCAAGGGACGATGCTTACCTGACGTGCCTACCCGCCCTGAAACCATCCACGGGGCGGTCGCCCACGCCTGCAGGGCAAGTGTTCGTAATCGGGGAAAAGGGATGAAGATGATGGGTCCCAACTGGGATTCTAGAGTCGGGATCGAACGCTGACTCGTCTGCAGTGAGTCGGAGATTACCACGAGAGACGTTTTCTGTGCCGCAAGGTCAATTTTTACTAGATTTGTTAGTTTATGGAGCTAGTTAATGTTAAAGTTAATTGCACCTGTACTATAAACTTCATCCCGCCAGCCTGTATTTTTGCTGAATTCTTGGTTATTATGGCGTTTAGCCGGATGATTGTTCTC